TGCCGAGTGAAAAATGTGGAGTGGGGAAGTTTACGCGGTAACCAGGAAAAAGTAATTCAATAATTCCCAATATTTTACTAAGTATTTATAAATTTAAAAATATAAAATCAGATTTAACTAAAAAACTCTCCAAAAATAATAATAATAAATTAGAAAAAAGAAACGAAAAGAATGGAGGCCATTTAGATAGTGTAAAATATATTGTGATTTTTTTTTGTTTTTTGGTTTTTTTGTTTCATTTATTTATTTCATTTCAGGTTTAATTTAAAAATGTTTTTAAATTTTTAAATAATATGAAAATAGTGTTGGATTTTTAATTATTAATTCTATTTTAATTTTTTGAACGTATAAATAATGGAAAATATAATATATTTGTTGATTTTTAAGTTTTTAACAAATTTACTTCTAAATTGTTTTTGATTTCTTAAATTTTTTTTTTTAATGGCGTTTTAAGCTGGTGCTTTATGGGAACTGTAGGAGTCTGTGCAGTCGCTCTCGGCGGTTCCTAGTGATGATGATTTCTTCTTCCTTGCCGCCTCAGTGCCGCCCTTTGATATCAGCCTAAACCTTATTGGGTCCTTCTGCTGAACAAGTTCTTGAGAAAAGAAAGCGCTTTTTGGATTCTATTTAGGTGAAGTATGTTGATGTACTATGATCTTGTTTTGGGCCTTTGTATGAATGGAGTCATAAATTCTTAGTTAATGTTATAAGCATACTCGATATGAAGTTAAGAGAGTTGATAATTGCTTAATTTCTACTTTGATTATCACCTTTTATCAAAAAATCCAATTAGTTGTTTGTCGTTTTGAGTTATGCTGATATTGCTGAAGAGAAATGGATTATCTATGTGACAAGAGTGTGCTGAATTTTTATGAACTTGTTTAAATTTTTGTAATGTTTGGTTTGTAAAGCAAAGTTGTACCAAATACGAAGCCTAGTTTATTGCATGATTGGTTATTCTTATTTTTGCCGTTCCTTGTTGTGATTAGCCGGTATTATTTTTGTTTTGGTGTACAGCTCAATATTGTTGAAGGGAAAATGCTCTACTTGTTTGATGAGAGCGGGATGCAGTACCTGGATGCTTTTGCTGGAATAGTTACTGTGTCTTGTGGGCATTGCCATCCTGATATCGTGAATGCGATTACAGAGCAAAACATCTTCTCCAGCATGCAACGCTATATACTTACACCATACTATAGCTGACTTTGCTGAGGCATTAGCATCAAAAAGCCTGGAAACCTAATGGTTTGTTCTCGAGTCTAGCACTTGATGTCATTCTTCTGTTATTTGTGATATTTTTGGATGAGATTTTCATTTTATAACATTACACATTAAGATGGCTACTTAATAACAACATTATGATACAGTAAATGTCATAATTTACTTTGAGTTTGAAATGCAGGTTGTGTATTTCGTCAATTCGGGACAGAAGCAAATGAACTAGCAATGTTGATGGCTAGACTTTACAGTGGTAATCTTGGCATGGTTGCCCTAAGAAATGCTATCATGGTGGAAGCTCCAATACAATTGGACTGACTGTCCTAAACATGTGGAAGTACCCCATACCACAGGTTTGTCGAATTCTAACGTTCGGAGATAGGTATTTAACATGGTTTTTTGTTTGGAATGACAACATAGTGTGAAGCTTATCATCTGAGCAACATAGGGATTAATAACATTCTTTCTTCTTTCATACACTGTCACAAGTGTAAGCTGGTTTGTAAGTATTCAACAATGTTAAGGGTAGCTGGTTTAGCAACAATGTTAACATGGGTGTGAATTACAGCTTACTTCACAAATATTGGCCTTGGCATGCTTATTTCTTCAGTTTTGTCTTCTGACAAATACCCATAACTGTAGCAAGTTTTCTGATTTTTTAGTGACGACTAAATTTATTTGTATCAATATACTTATTTTATTCTCTTTATTTGTTATTTGATGAAAGGGAAATAAATAACATGTTTAAGAGTGAAATTAACCTGTGTTCATATGACTGATGCCACTTTGCAGGGTGAATCTATCCTGTTGTAAATCCAGATCCTACCACAGAATCTTTGGCCCGAATGTGGCCCTTTATGCCGAAGACGTACAAGATCACATTGATTTTGGAAGTTCAGGAAAAGTTCTGGTTTTATAGCTGAAACCATTCAGGTTTTTATTGATAGTTGTCCCTAAAGATATATATAAATTTGGTGCTTTCAACAGCCCTGAATTGGTCTCTAAACATTGCACTTCCCTTTTTCAAAATTTTGACTGAATTTAGGGAGTTGGTGGATCAGGGAATTGGCTCTGGTACTTAAACATGTTTATGACATTGTGCGCAAGGCTGGTGGTGTCTGCATTGCTGATGAAGTGCAAACTGGATTTGGTCGCACTGGAAGCCACTACTGGGGCATTCAGACACAAGGGGTCATCCCGACATAGTTACCATGGCAAAGGTTTTGATGATAATCCCTTTAGTTCTTAATGTTGCCCTATACATAAAGAGTTATCCTTTTTCAATATTATCACCAATTTAGTTTTTTTTTTTTTTTCCTTCTTATGGTTCTCATTCAGATAATTCATTTACATTAAGCTAATATGATTTTCCAGGGAATTGGCAATGGTTTGCCATTAGGAGCTGTAGTGACAACACCAGTGATAGCTAGTGTAATGGCTCAGAAGATTCAGTTCAACACTTTTGGTGGAAACCCAGTATGTTCTGCTGGGGGGCTTGCGGTACTCAGGGTTATTGATAAAGAGAAGCGTCAAGCACATTGTGCTGACATTGGCTCTCACCTGATTGGATGCTTGAGAGCTCTACAAGAGAGACATGATAGTAATTACTCTTGAACTAAAAACTTCTCAAGTGTTCTTTTTTTCCCTTTTTTTCTCAATTGATTGTGTTTGACTTTACATTAAATTGAACTGCAAATTCGGAGAGATCTGGGCTATTTAACCATAATTTCTATATCATGTAAAGAAATTCCTAGACACAGTTTTTGAGTAAGCTCATTACAGTCATACTAAGACTTTGAATTAGTGTATGCCAGAATTTTATGAACTAAGCTCCTTAGGAATATGTATATGAGTGGAAAACCCAATTGTGGTTCTATTTTCATTCTATAGGTTTGCATGCGGCACTGAAAACAAATCATTTGTCTTATAACGGCATTTGGAGATTTGGTAGAAGCACCGATTGACATCACATCATCATATTAAAATGATGGTGTGATATGACTACTGTAGAGACTGATAATAACATGTCCTGTGCTGCTGATACACAATGTCTACTTATTCTGAACATCCTCAGTCTTCACATAGATCTGACAAAGCTTTCTGTGGCTTTCTGATTCTTTGGCTGTATCTATTTTTGTTCAATTGAACAGCTATTTGAGTACCGGAGATTAAATGTCTTATGCTCTGGAATTGCAACTTTATTTTGCAGCTTTTCTCACATTGATGAAATCCTGTTTCAGTCATTGGAGATGTGAGAGGGAGAGGACTCATGGTGGGAGTAGAATTAGTATCTGACAGGAAGGAGAAGACGCCTGCGAAGGCTGAAACTGCAGTCTTGTTTGAGAAACTTAGAGGTACAATTAACTAACTCTCTTCTTCAGAGAAAAGCTCTTAATTCTCATTTTACATTGACTCGTTGCAATTGCGGAGCTCGGTGTTCTTGTTGGGAAAGGTGGACTACATGGAAATGTTTTCAGAATCAAACCACCAATGTGTTTCACCAAAGATGATGCAGGTAACTTTCTGTATCTTCCTTTCATCAAATAGATTTTACCCATAGCCGTTGAATCTCTTATTGTAAATTTGTTTTGTCATAATGTTTAATCACATTGTTCTGTTGTGTCAAATTATCATTACAACAAGGGATAAGCAAGTGCTTAAAAATTGTGCATTGTCTGATCATAATATATTTAGGATAGAGGGATTATCTGAAGATGATGTTCATCTGCTTTTTAATAGGTATGCTTTTCAACAAAATCATTCTTTAAGAGATTATGATGAGTTATCACATGATGTAATAAGGTATGCTAAAGGCGTTCCATTAGTTCTTAAAGTGGTGTTAGGTTCTGTTTTATATGACAAGACCAAACATTTTTGGAAAAGTACACTAGAGAAATTACAGATAATTCCGAATGAGAATATTCAGAAGGTGCTAAAAATAAGTTACGATGAACTTGAAGATTTGGAGAAGGTGCATACTTCTAGATATTGCCTGTTTTCTAAAATGGGAGGATAGAGAGTTTGCAAGCATTCTTAGATACTTGTGGCTTCTATGCAGAACTTGGAATAACTATTCTCATTGACAAATGTCTAGTAACCATATCATGTGATAACAAAATAATAACTCATAATTTGCTTCAAGAAATGGGTTGGGAAATTGTGCGGCAAGAATCCACGAAACATCCTGGTAGATGTAGTCGTCTATGGTATCCTGAAGATATATATAGAGTATTGGAAGGAAAAACAGTAAGTGTCAAAGAAAATATGTAATTTTCCAATTTTTTTGTGAAGCTTAGTTACAAAATGTGACATCTAAGGTAATTTACTAAATAAAGAAAACCACAAATCTTAGACCTTTTTTTTTTTTTTTTTTTTTTTTTTTAATTTTTTCATTTTTAAACTACATCCCTCCCTTTGATTTCTATTTCATACATGTGAGATTTAAGAAAACATCAGCTATGAAAATTTTGTTTCAACTTTTCCTTCTGCATTTGCTTACGCAATAGAAGGTTTGGGTGAGCTTGGAAGAGTGTTTTATATTTAAGTATTATAAAAAGAGTACAAAATAATTTTAAATCTTTGACTGGTACCTAGTAATTTAAGCTTTAAGTTTTTATAATTAGCTAATTGTCATCTTTTCTTGATTGTCAGTGGACTGAAGCGATAGAAGGCATATGTTTGGATATGTCTCAATTGGAAAGACAAATCATACACTTCCAACCTCGTGCATTGGCAATGATGCATAATTTGAGATTATTTAAACTACATAACTCAAACTATGAAAAGAATAACAGTAGTGGGGTACGTGTTTCTGAAGGCCTTAATTCTATTTCTATAGAGCTAAGGTACCTTTGTTGGCATGGATGCTCGTTGAAATCGTTGTTGTCAAATTTCATGCCAGAGAACCTAGTGGCACTTGATATGCCTTATAGCAATATTGAACAACTTTGGCCTGGTGCTAAGGTAATATGTTGATATTTATGTGATTATCTTTCTGTTGTATGTTAAAGTTACTATCATTTCTTTCCTGTCATACAGCTTCATAAATTGAAATTTATTGACATCTGTCATTCCAAGCTTCTAAAAGTTCATGATCTTACTTCTAGGCAGAAACAATTTTGAGAGCATTCCAGCAAGCATCACAAACCTTTCCATGTTATCTTCTCTTGACTTAAGCTATTGTGCAAAGCTTCGATCGTTACCAGAACTTCCATGTCAATTATTAAGTATTGATGCACACAATTGCGTGTCACTGGAAGCATCACTAAGTTTGCCAATTCTATTCTCCAGAAATTCTTCCCAAAACCTAAGAGTGAACTTCATCAATTGTTTCAAACTGGTGGATCAAAATGCGTTCGAAAAAATTGTGGAAGATGCTCTAAAGAAATTTGAGATTCTTGCAAGAAAAAAGGTCTCCCTCACTATTGCTTATTTCATATGATTTTAATTTCTTTCATTGTAACAAGAAGTTTAATGATGTCACAAAACTGATGAGTTTTATTTTGTTTATTTTACACAGTTTACTGCTCCAGGTAGGGCTTTTATCTTTTTCACAGGAAACGAAATTCCACAACGGTTCCGCTTTAAAAGAACAGGATCAGCTATAACTTTCTCGATGCCACGGTATTTGACCGCATTTAAGTCCTTTGGTCTTACTGTCTGCGCCATTGTAGAGTTTCAAACCTATCATGATAATGAAGGGCAGGGTATGTTAGTGGGCTTTGACTGCATTTTAGCAGGTAAATATGGTACGAAATCATTCCAAGGCACTTCAGGTGGTTGGGATTTTTGTAGTGGACGTGACTATGTTGACACAGATCATGTATTCCTTGGATATGATAGATCATTTGACCAGATTGTACGCTTAGAAGATAACTTTTATATTTAGACATAAAAACAGTCAGAAAAAATATCAACAGATCTAGTTAATTAAACTCTGTTCATCTGTAAGTCATATTCCAGCTACAAGTATAAATTCTGAAACAAGAGCACAACCCCTCCAATATTTAACCTATGAAAAACATTTGCTGAAGTGAAATTTCTGAAAAATTTGTGGTTCTTGTGATGTTGGTATTAATAATGTTTCTGAAAGAAATTAAAGTGAAATACAAAATAAAAAACCAAGAAGACAATAGATTTATGTTATTATATAATGTACTGAAACCAAAACTTGCCAGCATAACATAAGGACTTACGTAACAAGTAGTCAAGAACTACATAATGAGAAGTAGTAGAATAGCAGAATTCACATTCAACAAGTACTTGTATATAGAGAGTGAATAATATTTAACTTTTTAAAATTAATTATGTGGATCTCCTTAATTACTTGCCAACATATATACTTATGAAAATTAAAGAATATTTGTGGTAATTTATCTTAGATAAATATTCATTAGATTTTATGTTTTTTAAGCACAAATGGTGCATTACCTAGTTGAATGCCCAAATTGTGTAAAGCACTACCAGGGCTCAAAGATGTTAAGGGCTTAAAATAAAAGGGTAACCATATTCCTCATATCAGCCCAAAAATATTTAAATGGGTGAATTTAGAATGTCTGGTTGTGGACTTGTGGTAAACAAGACGGGCCATGTCATGCAGATATGGATAAATGGGCATCGGGAAGCCCAGACCAGTAATAGGTCATAAGAACTATCATGGGGCCATGAGAGGTCAAAATTTTGTTATCAACAAATTTTGCACAGAAACAATAATATTACGAATACAAATAAAATATAAAATATTACTCTTTTATGTTATACAGTTATTCACATTTATTGAATTGATTATTATATCCACTCATTGATCCATTTCGTGTCATGTCAATTTATAATATCTATTATTATTCTTATCAAAAGAAAAATGGTAGGATCTATCTAAGATGGCCAATGAAATGGCTAGAATTCAAGGTTATCAAATATATACATTATTCAAAATCAATTTGAGTAAAGAAAGGTATATAAACTGCCATAAACTAAATGAGGGATTATTATGTTTCTGTTAGAGAGTAGAAATGTTTAGGACTTTTACTGTATTTTATTGTTCTTTGTTAGGCTAATATAAATCTTGCATATCCCAAGGCATTATTCACAGAGAAATTGAAACCATAATTCAAGTCGGAGGCAGTTGAAAATTGAGTTAATAAAACTAAAACAAATTGAGCAACTACAAGTTCATTAATTTTTTGCTACTATGAAGATGAAATTAATTATTAGCATAACGATGTAGCAACGTTCTAATTTTGTTGTTAATAATTTATATTACTAATTCCTGAAATTAATATATTTTTGTAAATTGATTTATTATCTTTTATATTTATAATAAGAAATTAAAACAATTTATATTTGGTTTGGTTGGTTTGTCCTCTTATTTCTTATTTTTAAAAGAGTTAAAGGTTGTCAGCAATGAGCCAATAAGTAGAAGGAAAAGCCCCTTATATTGTTAGTCTATATATGAAGCAGGATGGTTTCTTCTTCTTCATCCATCACCGTTGAAGAAAAGAAGAAGTATAATGTGTTTCTTAGAGTTTGTTGGGGCCGAGTTTATAAAAATTTGTTTATAAACAGTTAGTGTTTATATGATAATTTGAAGTATTTAAAATTTAAACAGTTATGTATTCGATTAAAATATTTATAAGTCATTGATAAATAATTAATACATTTATAAAATATAACTTATAAATATATTTTATTATTAAAATGATTAAAAATATTATTACATTATTTTATCAAATAATAAATAAAATTATATGATAAAATTTTAAAATTAAATAGAAGTAATATTATAATATATTTGATCACCAAAAATAAAAAAATTAAAAATTAAGTTTCCAACTTATTTTTTAACTTATAAGCCCAGCTAAAAACAGTTATAAACCAATATAATCAGCTTCTTTTGATTTCAGAGCTTATACAGACACCCCTTTGCCATCGGCAGTACACATTCCAGCATTCTACATGGAATTTTGAACAGTTTTGTTTTCATTGATGATGAACTTAACAGAGAAGAGAGCATTTCGTCGTCTCTCGAGAATGCAATCGAAGAATTAAAGATTTCAGTTATTATTTTTTGAGAAGGTTATGCCTCTTCAAGATGGTGTCTCGAAGAACTTGTGAAGATATTGGAGTTCAAGAAAGCGCAAATTGAGGTGGTAATACCCGTTTATCACATAGATCCATCACATGTGAGGAATCAAACGGGAACTTTTGGGGATGGATTTGCTAAGCTTGTAGAAAGCTTTAACAACAAGAGGCTAAAGAAGCTTCAAATCATAGAAGAACAATTGAAAGATAAGGTGCAGAAGTAGAGGATTGCTTTGACAGAAGCAACTAATCTATCTGGCTGGACATCAGAAGAGGAACCGTCATTTTTCTTCTCTTTAATTTAGTACTATTTAGTTTCCCCTAATTTTAATTTTTATATTATATATCACGTAAATATAGTCACAATCAACGCTAATTAATTAAGTTAATGAATCACACACAATCAACTCCCCAAGTTAGTGTTCAGTGAACTTCATGACTTGACAAGCGCCAATTCACCAATTTATTTATGTTCTTTGGACCCTTTTGCTTTGCATTTTCACTTGGTGCTTTTGTCTTTTCATTTCTGGAAAAGAAGGGGAAGTTTGGAGGAAAGTGGGGTTTTAATGGCGTTTTTGCAGAGGCTAACTTGAAGAGGAAGCCGGTGCTTTATGGGACCTGTAGGAGGAATCTCTGCGTTCGCTCTCTGCGGTTCCTAGTGATGTGTCTTCTTCTTCCTTGCCGCCCAGTTGCCGCCCTTTGATTATCAGCCTAAGCCTTACTTGGGTCCTTCTTCTGACAGGTTCTTGAGAAAAGAAAGCGCTTTTTGGGTCCTTCTCTGTTCTATTACTATCAAAAGCCTGTAAGTTTTTGGGAAATGCGTTTGTTTTAACGTAGTCAGTTTTTAGTGTTTTTGTACTAAAAATATGATCTTATCTTAAAGTTGAATCTTTTTAAGTTGTGTTGTTTGTGATTACTAGTTGTTATGGAGGCAAAGTGCTTCTATTTGAGAGGATTTTTTTTTTTTTTTTTTTTTTATTTTTTTTTATTTTTTTTTTTTTTTTTGGGGTGCATTTGAAGGACAAAGAGTAGTTTACTTTTGTCAAATGGATTTTTTTAGTTCATGGCTTGTTATGTTGTTTATGAATTATATATTCTTTTGGGCCTTTGTATGAACTTGAGTCATAAAATTTTGTGAACTTGATTCATAAAATTTTAGTTAATTTTATAAGCGTATTCGATATGAAGTTAAGAGAGTTGCATAATTGCTTAATCACTACTTTAATGATCACTTTTTATCAAAGAATCCAATTAGTTGTTATTGTTTTTGAGTTATTGTTGAAGAGAAATGGAATATCTATGTGACAAGATTGTGCTGAATTTTTATGAACTTCTTTAAATTTTTGTTATGTTAGGTTTGTAAAGCAAAGTTGTATGCAAACACTAAGCCAAGTTTATTGCATGATTGGTTGTTCTTTACTTTTGCTGTTCCTTATTGTGATTAGCCGATATTATTTCTTTTTTTTGGTGTACAGCTCAATATTGTTGGAGGGAAAAGGCAATACTTGTTTGATGAGAGCGGGAGGCGGTACCTAGATGCTTTTGCTGTTAGAGTTTTGATTACTGTACTGATATTTTTTGTTTTGAGCCTTTGTAGCTGTTCTGCAGTGTATTAGAGCTTGCGTTTGTGAACTGGAGTGTTAGTGTTGGCTATTATATGATTTCTTTAAAGCTGATGGGTAACTGGTGTAGTAGAGCTGCTGTTTGAATTGTTGTTAGAACTGGCTATTGTGAAGTTCCCTTAAAGCTGCTGTATAAACTGGTGTAGTCTGAGATAGCTGCTGTTTGAATTGTTGTTAGAGCTGGCTATTGTGAAGTTCCCTTAAAGCTGCTGTATAAACTGGTGTAGTCTGAGATAGCTGGTGTGTTTGTTTTTATTGTGTGATTCTCTTTAGAAGCTGTTTTATAGCTGGTGTGTTTTGAGGTGGTTTGTGCGAAGATTCTTGAAGCTGCAGTATATTAGAGTTGTTGAGAAAAACTGATGTTGTTAATGAAAGAAGATATTGAGTATGAGCAGATGGTGAAAATAACACATAGAGAGTTTAGTTCAAGGGAAGATATTGAGTATGAACAAAGGTGAAAAAGAGAGCTTAGTTTAAGAGGGGATATATTGAGTAAAGTTGATTCGTTTTTAAATGTAATGATTGGGTTTAGTTTGTAAACTTTACGAAGTTTATGTCTTTAGTACAAATGTACTTAATTGAAACGACTGAGTATTGATGTAATATGGGAAGTGTATAAATTAGCTACCCCTACTCTGTTTTCACTTAACGAAAGGAATTCAGTTTACCAGAACCTTCTTCGTCAGTTTTTACTCTTTCTTGATTTCTTGATTTCTTTACTTTTTGTTCTTAAATTCTTCATGCTGGAACAGTTACTGTCTTGTGGGCGTTGCCATCCTGATATCGTGAATGCTATTACAGAGCAAAACAATCTTCTCCAGCATGCAATGACTATATACTTACACCATGCTATAGCTGACTTTGCTGAGGCATTAGCATAAAAAATGCCTGGAAATCTAAATGTTTGTTCTCAACTCTAGCGCTTGATGCCATTCTTTCTGTTATATGGTGATATTTTTTGGATGAGATTTTCATTTTATAACATTACACATTAACATGGCCACTTAATAACAACATTATGATGACAATAAACGTCTTTAATTACTTTGATGTTTGAAATGCAGGTTGTTTATTTCGTCAATTCTGGGACAGGAGCAAATGAACTAGCAATGTTGCTGGCCAGACTTTACAGTGGTAATCTTGGCATGATTGCCCTAAGAAATGCTTATCATGGTGGAAGCTTCAATACAATTGGACTGACTGCCCTAAACACATGGAAGTACCCCATACCACAGGTTTGTCCATGTTCTATATGTTTGGAGGATATGTAATTAACATGGTTTTTGTTTGATAAACTTTTAATATCTGGAATTGTTTGCAACGACAACATAGTGTGAAACTCATCATCTCAGGAACATTAGGAATTAATAGCATTTCTTTCTTCTCTCATTCACTTTTCACAAGGGTAAGCTGGTTTAGTAAATAACAACAATGTTAACATGGGGTGTGAATTACAGCTTACTTTACAAATATTGGCCGTGGCATGCTTATTTCTTCAGTCTCGTCTTCTAACACACACCCATAACTGTAGCAAGTTTTCTAAAATTTTTTAGTGAAGAGTAAATTGATTTGTATCATATATACTTAGTTTATTCTCTTTGTTTGTTTATTTAATGCAAAGAAAAAATGAATAACATGTTTAAGAGTGAAATTCAACCTGTATTCTTAATCTGATCTGCCACTTTGCAGGGTGAAATCCATCATGTTGTAAATCCAGATCCATACCGTGGAATTTTTGGGTCAAATGCGGCCCTTTATGCCAAAGACGTACAAGATCACATTGATTTTGGAAGTTCAGGAACAGTTGCTGGTTTTATAGCTGAAACCATTCAGGCTTTGATTGATAGTTTTCGCTAAAGACATATAAAACTTGGTGCTTTCAACAGCCTGAATTGGTCTCCAAAAATTGCGCTTCCCTTTTTCTAAATTTTGACTGAATTTAGGGAGTTGGTGGAGCAGTGGAATTAGCCCCTGGATACTTAAAACATGTTTATGACATTGTGTGCAAGGCTGGTGGTGTCTGCATTGCCTGTGAAGTGCAAACTGGATTTGGTCGCACTGGAAGCCACTAGTGGGGCTTTCAGACACAAGGGGTCATTCCCGACATAGTTACCATGGCAAAGGTTTTGATGATAATCCTTTGAGTTCTTAATGTTGCCTTATGCGTAAACAGTTAGTCTTTTTCAATATTATCACCAATTTAGTTTTTTTTTTTTTTTTTTTTCCTATTTAACCATAATTTCTTATATCTGTAAGAAATTCCTAGACAGTTTTTGAGTAAGCCTTACAGTCATACTAAGACTTTGAATTAGTGTATGCCGAATTTTATGAACTAGCTCCTTAGGAATATGTAAATGAGTGGAAAACCCATTGTGGTTCTATTTCATTCTAAGGTTTGCATGCGGCACTGAAACAAATCATTTGTCTTTAAACGCATTTGGAGATTTGGTAGAAGCCCCGATTGACATCACATCATCATATTAAAATGATGGTGTGATATCTACTGTAGAGACTGATAATACATGTCCTGTGCTGCTGATACACAATGTCTACTTATTCTGAACATCCTCAGTCTTCACATAGATCTACAAAGCTTCTGTGGCTTTCTGATTCTTTGGCTGTACTTTTTTTGTTCAATTGAAGCTATTTGAGTACCGGAGATTAATGTCTTATGCTCGGAATTGCAACTTTATTTTGCAGCTTTTCTCACATTGATGAAATCCTGTTTCAGTCATTGGAGATGTGAGAGGGAGAGGACTCATGGTGGGAGTAATTAGTATCTGACAGGAAGGAGAAAACCCTGCGAAGGCTGAAACTGCAGTCTTGTTTGAGAAACTTAGAGGTACAATTAACTAACCTCTTCTTCAGAGAAAAGCTCTTATTCTCATTTTACATTGACTCGTTGCAATTGCGGAGCTCGGTGTTCTTGTTGGGAAAGGTGGACTACATGGAATTGTTTTCAGATCAAACCACCAATGTGTTTCACCAAAGATGATGCAGGTAACTTTCTGTACTTCCTTTCATCAAATAATTTTACCCATAGCCGTTGAATCCTTATTGTAAATTTGTTTTGTCATAAGTTTAATCACATTGTTCTGTTGTGTCAAATTATCATTACAACAAGGGATAAGCAGTGCTTAAAAATTGTGCATTGTCTGATCATAATATATTTGGATAGAGGGATTATCTGAAGATGATGTTCATCTCTCTTTTTAATAGGTTGCTTTCAACAAAATCTTCTTTAAGATTATGATGAGTTATCACATGATTGTATATTATGCTAAAGGCGTTCCATTAGTTCTTAAAGTGGTGTTAGGTTCTGTTTTATATGACAGACCAAACATTTTGGAAAAGTACACTAGAGAAATTACAATAATTCCGAATGAGAATATTCAGAAGGTGCTAAAAATAGTTCCGATGAACTTGAAGATTGGGAGAAGGTGCATACTTCTAGATTTTGCCGTTTTTCTAAATGGGAGGATAGGAGTTTGCAAGCATTCTTAGATACTTGTGCTTCTATGCAATTTGAATAACTATTCTCATTGACAAATGTCTAGTAACCATATCATGTGATAACAAATAATAACTCATAATTTGCTTCAAGAAATGGTTGAATTGTGCGGCAAGAATCCCGAAACATCCTGGTAGATGTAGTCGTTCTATGGTTCCTGAAGATATATAGAGTATTGGAAGAAAACAGTAAGTGTCAAAGAAAATATGTTTTTTCCAATTTTTTTGTGAAGCTTAGTTCACAAATGTGACATCTAAGGTATTTACTAAATAAAGAAAACCACAAATCTTAGACCTTTTTTTTTTTTTTTTTTTTTTTTTTAATTTTTTCATTTTTAACTACATCCCTCCCTTTGATTTCTATTTCATACATGTGAGTTAAGAAAACATCAGCTATGAAAATTTTGTTTCACTTTCCTTCTGCATTTGCTACGCAATAGAAGGTTTGGGTGAGCTTGGAAGAGTGTTTTATATTTAGTATTATAAAAAGAGTACAAATAATTTTAAATCTTTGACTGGTACCTAGTAATTTAAGCTTTAAGTTTTTAATTAGCTAATTGTCATCTTTTCTTGATTGTCAGTGGACTGAAGCGATGGAAGGCATATGTTTGATAGTCTCAATTGGAAAGACAATCATACACTTCCAACCTCGTGCATTGGCATGACATAATTTGAGATTATTTAAACTACATAACTCAAACTATGAAAAGAATAACAGTATGTGGGGTACGTGTTCTGAAGGCCTTAATTCTATTTCTCATAGAGCTAAGGTACCTTGTTGGCATGGATGCTCGTTGAAATCGTTGTTGTCAATTTCATGCCAGAGACCTAGTGGCACTTGATATGCCTTATAGCAATATTGAACAACTTTGGCCTGGTGCTAAGGTAATATGTTGATATTTATGTGATTATCTTTCGTTGTATGTTAAAGTTACTATCATTTCTTTCCTGTCATACAGCTTCAAAATTGAAATTTATTGACATCTGTCATTCAAGCTTCTAAAAGTTCTGATCTTACTTCTAGGCAGAAACAATTTTGAGAGCATTCCGCAAGCATCACAAACCTTTCATGTTATCTTCTCTTGACTTAAGCTATTGTGCAAAGCTTCGATCTTTACCAGACTTCCATGTCAATTATTAAGTATTGATGCACACAATTGCGTGTCACTGAAGCATCACTAGTTTGCCAATTCTATCTCCAGAAATTCTTCCCAAAACCTAAGAGTGAACTTCATCAATTGTTTCAAACTGGTGGATCAAAATGCGTTCGAAATTGTGGAAGATGCTCTAAAGAAATTTGAGATTCTTGCAAGAAAAAAGGTCTCCCTCACTATTGCTTATTTCATTGATTTAATTCTCATTTGTAACAAGAATGTTTAATGATGTCACAAAACTGATGAGTTTTTATTTTGTTTATTTTACACAGTTTACTTGCTCCAGGTAGGCTTTTATCTTTTTCACAGGAAACGAATTCCACAACGGTTCCGCTTTAAAAGAACAGGATCAGCTATAACTTTCTCGATGCCACGGTATTTGACCGCATTTAAGTCCTTTGGTCTTACTGTCTGCGCCATTGTAGAGTTTTCAAACCTATCATGATAATGAAGGGCAGGGTATGTTAGTGGGCTTTGACTGCATTTTAGCAGGTAAATATGGTACGAATCATTCCAAGGCACTTCAGGTGTTGGGATTTTTGTAGTGGACGTGACTATGTTGACACAGATCATGTATTCCTTGGATATGATAGATCATTTGACCAATTGTACGCTTAGAAGATAACTTTATTTAGACATAAAAACAGTCAGAAAAAATATCAACAGATCTAGTTAATTAAACTCTGTTCATCTGTAAGTCATATTCCAGCACAAGTATAATTCTGACAGAGCACAACCCCTCCAATATTTAACCTATGAAAAACATTTGCTGAAGTGAAATTTCGAAAAATTTGTGGTTCTTGTGATGTTGGTATTATAATGTTTCTGAAAGAAATTAAAGTGAAACAAAATAAAAAACCAAGAAGACAATAGATTTATGTTATATATAATGTACTGAAACCAAAACTTCCAGCATAAGTGCATACATAAGGACTTATGTAACAAGTTGTCAAGAACTACATAATGAGAATTAATAGAAACAGGTTCACATTCACCAAGTACTTGTATATAGAGAGTGATAATTTAACTTTTTAATTAATTATGTGGATCTCCTTAATTACTTGCCAACATATATACTTATGAAAATTAAAGAATATTTGTGTTAATTTATCTTAATAGATAATATTCATTAGATTTTGTTTTTTAAGCACAAATGGTCATTACCCAGTTGATGCCCAAATTGTGTAAGCACTACCAGCTCAATGTTAAGGGCTTAAAATAAAAGGGTAACCATATTCCTCATATCAGCCCAAAATTATTAATGGGTGAATTTAGAATGTCTGGTTGTGGCTTGTGGTAAACAAGGGCCTATGTCATGCAGATTGAGATGGGCATCGGAGCCCAGACCAGTAAGGTCATAAGACTATCATGGGCCATGAGAGGTCAAAATTTTGTTATCAACAAATTTTGCACAGAAACAATAATGTTACGAATACAAATAAAAATATAAAATATTACTCTTTTATGTTATACAGTTATTCACATTTATTGAATTGATTATTATATCCACTCATTGATCCTTTTCGTGTCATGTCATTTATAATATCTATTATTATTCTTATCAAAAGAAAATGGTAATCTATCTAAGATGGCAATGAAATGGCTAGAATTCAAGGTTATCAAAATTATACATTATTCAAATCAATTGAGTAAAGAAGTTATAAACTGCCATAAACTAAATGAGGGATTATTATGTTTCTGTTGAGAGTAGAAATGTTTAGGACTTTTACTGTATTTTATTGTTCTTTGTTAGGCTATATAAATCTTGCATATCCCAAGGCATTATTCACAGAGAAATTGAAACCATAATTCAGTCGGAGGCAGTTGAAAATTGAGTTAATAAAACTAAAACAATTGAGCAACTACAAGTTCATTATTTTTTTGCTACTATGAAGATGAAATTAATTATTAGCATAACGATGTAGCAACGTTCTAATTTTGTTGTTAATATTTATATTACTAATTCCTGAAATTAATATATTTTTGTAAATTGATTTTTCTTTTATATTTTAATAAGAAATTAAAACATTTATATTTGGTTTGGTTGGTTTGTCCTCTTATTCTTATTTTTAAAAGAGTTAAAGGTTGTCAGCAATGAGCCATAAGTAGAAGGAAAGCCCTTATATGTTAGTCTATAATGAAGCAGGATGTTTTTTCTTCTTCTTCATCCATCACCGTTGAAGAAAGAAGAAGTATAAGTGTTTCTTAGAGTTTGTTGGGGCCGAGTTTATAAAAATTTGTTTATAAACAGTTAGTGTTTATATGATAATTTGAAGTATTTAAATTAAAACAGTTATGATTCGATTAAATATTTATAAGTCATTTAATAATAATACATTTATAAAATAACTTATAAATATATTTATTATTAAATGATTAAAATATTATTACATTATTTTATCAAATAATAAATAAAATATAATGATAAATTTTAAAATTAAATAAAAAATAATAATATATTGATCACCAAAAATAAAAAATTAAAAATTAAGTTTCCAACTTATTTTTTAACTTATAGCCCAGCTAAAACAGTTATAAACCAATAAATCAGCTTCTTTTGATTTCAGAGCTATACAGCACACCCTTTGCCATCGGCAGTACACATTCCAGCATTCTACATGGAATTTTGAACAGTTTGTTTTTCATTGATGATGACTTAACAGAGAAGAGAGCATTTCGTCGTCTCTCGAGATGCAATCGAAGAATTAAGATTTCAGTTATTATTTTTTGAGAAGGTTATGCCTCTTCAAGATGGTGTCTCGAAGAACTTGTGAAGATATTGGAGTTCAAGAAAGCGCAAATTGAGGTGGTAATACCCGTTTATCCATAGATCCATCACATGTGAGGAATCAAACGGGAACTTTTGGGGATGGATTTGCTAAGCTTGTAGAAAGCTTTACAACAAGAGGCTAAAGAAGCTTCAAATCATAGAAGAACAATTGAAAGATAAGGTGCAGGTAGAGGATTGCTTTGACAGAAGCAACTAATCTACTGGCTGGACATCAGAAGAGGAACCGTCTTTTTCTCTCTTTTAATTTGTACTATTTATTTTCCCCTAATTTTAATTTTATATTATATATCACACGTATCCATAGTCACAATCAAACGCTAATTAATTAAGTTAAATGAATCCACAACAAATCAACTCCCCAAGTTAGTGTTCAGTGAACTTCATGACTTGACAAGCGCCAATTCACCAATTTATTTATTTTCTTTGGACCCTTTTGCTTTGCATTTTCACTTGGTGCTTTTGTCTTTTCATTCCTGGAAAAGAGGGAAGTTTGGAGGAAGTGGGGTTTTAATGCTTTTTTTGCAGAGGCTAATCTTGAAGAGGAAGCCGGTGCTTAATGGGAACTGTAGAGGAATCTCTGCAGTTCGCTCTCTGCGGTTCCTATTGATGATGATTCTTCTTTCCTTGCCGCCCCAGTTGCCGCCCTTTGATTATCAGCCTAAGCCTTACTTGGGTCCTTCTTCTGACAAGTTCTTGAGAAAAAAGCGCTTTTTGGGTCCTTCTCTGTTCTATTACTATCAAAAGCCTGTAAGTTTTTGGGAAATGCGTTTGTTTTAACGTAGTCAGTTTTTAGTGTTTTTGTACTAAAAATATGATCTTTATCTTAAAGTTGAACTCTTTTAAGTTGTGTTGTTTGTGATTACTATTTGTTATGGAGGCAAAGTGCTTCTATTTAGAGGATTTTTTTTTTTTTTTTTTTTTTTTTTTTTTTTTTTTTGGGGTGCATTTGAAGGACAAAGAGTATTTTACTTTTGTCAAATGGTTTTTTTAGTTCATGGCTTGTTATGTTGTTTATGATATATATTCTTTTGGGCTTTGTATGAACTTGAGTCATAAAATTTTGTGAACTTGATTCATAAAATTTTAGTTAATTTTAATCGTATTCGATATGAAGTTAAGAGAGTTGCATAATTGCTTAATCACTACTTTAATGATCACTTTTATCAAAGAATCCAATTAGTTTTTATTGTTTTTGAGTTATTGTTGAAGAAAATGGATACTATGTGACAAGATTGTGCTGAATTTTTATGAACTTCTTTAAATTTTTGTTATGTTAAGGTTTCCTAGTGATGATGATTCTTCTTCTTCCTTGCCGCCTCAGTTGCCGCCCTTTGATTATCAGCCTAAACCTTATTTGGGTCCTTCTGCTGAACAAGTTCTTGAGAAAAGAAAGCGCTTTTTGGATTCTATTTAGGTGAAGTATGTTGATGTACTATGATCTTGTTTTGGGCCTTTGTATGAATTGGAGTCATAAATTCTTAGTTAATGTTATAAGCATACTCGATATGAAGTTAAGAGAGTTGCATAATTGCTTAATTTCTACTTTGATTATCACCTTTTATCAAAAAATCCAATTAGTTGTTTGTCGTTTTTGAGTTACTGCTGATATTGCTGAAGAGAAATGGATTATCTATGTGACAAGAGTGTGCTGAATTTTTATGAACTTGTTTAAATTTTTGTAATGTTTGGTTTGTAAAGCAAAGTTGTACCCAAATACGAAGCCTAGTTTATTGCATGATTGGTTATTCTTTATTTTTGCCGTTCCTTGTTGTGATTAGCCGGTATTATTTCTTTGTTTTGGTGTACAGCTCAATATTGTTGAAGGGAAAATGCTCTACTTGTTTGATGAGAGCGGGATGCAGTACCTGGATGCTTTTGCTGGAATAGTTACTGTGTCTTGTGGGCATTGCCATCCTGATATCGTGAATGCGATTACAGAGCAAAACAATCTTCTCCAGCATGCAACGACTATATACTTACACCATACTATAGCTGACTTTGCTGAGGCATTAGCATCAAAAATGCCTGGAAACCTAATGGTTTGTTCTCGAGTCTAGCACTTGATGTCATTCTTTCTGTTATATTGTGATATTTTTTGGATGAGATTTTCATTTTATAACATTACACATTAAGATGGCTACTTAATAACAACATTATGATTACAATGTAAATGTCTATAATTTACTTTGAGATTTGAAATGCAGGTTGTGTATTTCGTCAATTCTGGGACAGAAGCAAATGAACTAGCAATGTTGATGGCTAGACTTTACAGTGGTAATCTTGGCATGGTTGCCCTAAGAAATGCTTATCATGGTGGAAGCTCCAATACAATTGGACTGACTGTCCTAAACATGTGGAAGTACCCCATACCACAGGTTTGTCGACATTCTATACGTTCGGAGGATATGTATTTAACATGGTTTTTTGTTTGGAATGACAACATAGTGTGAAGCTTATCATCTGAGCAACAATAGGGATTAATAACATTTCTTTCTTCTTTCATACACTTGTCACAAGTGTAAGCTGGTTTAGTAAGTATTCAACAATGTTAAGGGTAAGCTGGTTTAGCAACAATGTTAACATGGGGTGTGAATTACAGCTTACTTCACAAATATTGGCCTTGGCATGCTTATTTCTTCAGTTTTGTCTTCTGACAAATACCCATAACTGTAGCAAGTTTTCTGAATTTTTTAGTGACGACTAAATTTATTTGTATCATATATACTTATTTTATTCTCTTTATTTGTTTATTTGATGAAACGGGAAACTAAATAACATGTTTAAGAGTGAAATTCAACCTGTGTTCATAATCTGACGTGCCACTTTGCAGGGTGAAATCTATCCTGTTGTAAATCCAGATCCATACCACAGAATCTTTGGCCCGAATGTGGCCCTTTATGCCGAAGACGTACAAGATCACATTGATTTTGGAAGTTCAGGAAAAGTTTCTGGTTTTATAGCTGAAACCATTCAGGTTTTTATTGATAGTTGTCCCTAAAGATATATATAAATTTGGTGCTTTCAACAGCCCTGAATTGGTCTCTAAACATTGCACTTCCCTTTTTCAAAATTTTGACTGAATTTAGGGAGTTGGTGGATCAGTGGAATTGGCCTCTGGATACTTAAAACATGTTTATGACATTGTGCGCAAGGCTGGTGGTGTCTGCATTGCTGATGAAGTGCAAACTGGATTTGGTCGCACTGGAAGCCACTACTGGGGCATTCAGACACAAGGGGTCATCCCCGACATAGTTACCATGGCAAAGGTTTTGATGATAATCCCTTTAGTTCTTAATGTTGCCCTATACATAAAGAGTTATCCTTTTTCAATATTATCACCAATTTAGTTTTTTTTTTTTTTTTTCCCTTCTTATGGTTCTCATTCAGATAATTCATTTACATTACGATAATATGATTTTCCAGGGAATTGGCAATGGTTTGCCATTAGGAGCTGTAGTGACAACACCAGTGATAGCTAGTGTAATGGCTCAGAAGATTCAGTTCAACACTTTTGGTGGAAACCCAGTATGTTCTGCTGGGGGGCTTGCGGTGCTCAGGGTTATTGATAAAGAGAAGCGTCAAGCACATTGTGCTGACATTGGCTCTCACCTGATTGGATGCTTGAGAGCTCTACAAGAGAGACATGATAGTAATTACTCTTGAACTAAAAACTTCTCAGAGGGTTTTTTTTTTTTTTTTTTCCCTCTTTTTTTCTCAATTGACTGTGTTTGACTTCACGTTAAATTGAACTGCAAATTTGGCGAGATCTGGGCTATTTAACCATATTTTTATATCATGTAAATACATGTCCTAGCCAGTTTCTGAGTAAGCTCATTACAGTCATACTAAGACTTTGAATTAGTGTGTATGTGCCAGCATGCACACATGTTCTTTCTACACCTCCCCAGAATTATATGAAGTAAGCTCCTCAGGAATATACATATGAGTGGAAAACCCAAAATTGTGGATCTATTTTCATTCTATAGGTTTTCATGCAGCACTGAAAATAAATCATTCTGCTTATAACGACATTTGGAGTTGTATGGCGGAAGAACCAATTGACATCATGTCATCATATTGAAATGAAGGTGTGATATGGGTACTATAAAAACTAATAATAATATGTCTTTTGCTTATAACATCTGTTTGAGTACCTGAGATTAAATGTCTTATGCTTTGGAATTGCAATTTTATCATGCAGCTTTTCTCACATTGATGAAATCTTGTTTCAGTCATTGGAGATGCGAGAGGGAGAGGACTCAGGTGGGAGTAGAATTAGTAACTGATAGGGAGGAGAAGACACCTGCAAAGGCTGAAACTGCAGTCTTCTTATGAGAAGAGCTCTTAATTCACATTTTACATTGACTCGTTGCAATTGCAGAGCTGGGTGTTCTTCTTGGGAAAGGTGGACTGCATGGAAATGTTTTCAGAATCAAACCACCAATGTGTTTCACCAAAGATGATGCAGGTAACTTTCTGTAACTTCCTTTCATCAGATAGATTTTACCATTAGCCGTTGAATCTGTTATTGTAAATTTGTTTTGTCATAATGTTTAATCACACTGTTCTGTTATGGAAATGCAGATTTTCTTGTTGATGCTTTGGACTATGCAATGTCAAAGTTATGAGAGTATTAGTCTTTTAAGAGCCTGGAAAAATCATGTAACTCTTCAAATCCTTGGGAGTATCAATCTCTTCAGAAAGCTTATTTTCAATAATACGCACGTACGTCAGCATCAAAGATTTGCAATGTCTATATACATCTTTCACAGAATGATTGTGATAATTTTGAATGCAATCTTGGTTGAAAGTCCAACTATTTGAGTTTTAGTAGTAAAAGATTATGTAGAAAGCTGGAAATATTTGTGATAAGAAGTCCAACTATTTGGAAACAAATCTGATAATGCAAGTAAAAGATTAAAGCAGCCTCAGAAGGCAGAAACATCAGGAAAATTTTAAGTTCACAATAAACTAGTGTTTCAAACAAAACAGAACATTCACATAATGTCGGCTTACAACACTATTAAAGTGCAATCAGCATCCTTTCACAGTCCAGAAAGCGAAGCACCAGAAATATCAAAACAGCATGTGTCCACTCACAGTAGTCCGCTAACATAATTCGATTCCAGGGAAGAAAATCCAGAAAACATTGAGATGTTCACGCGCCAAGTTGCCAGCTAAATCGTGAGCATGTGCAAACGAGATCAAGCCAGTCTGAAAAGACAACGAATAACATAAGAAAAAAAAAGCATATATATAACTTCAAAATTCTTGAACAGAATGGAGAACGGCAGAGCATAGGGCATGAATATATGTTTTAAAAAAAATTCCTCCGTTTATGCGCAGAAATGGAGTAAAAAGCCTTGATTTCCCTGTGGAGAGTTTCCCAACAAAGCAAGAAGAAACCTGCCGTGCTGAACTTGCACAAGCATCAGCCATCATTTTACAGCCGGAGGGACATGGGGAAGTAAAGGAGAATCATTCAAATTGTTCCAATAACCTTGTATAATAAGCTCATCTGTTTGGAGTTACATCACCTTTTCCTTAAGAAGATTCCAACCTCAAGTTTCACACCGGTCTAGCCCAGTCCATGCGCTTCCGATGCAGATGGTGTGCAACCACTTTGCACCCGATATAATTTGAACTGTAAAATACAGTGAATATTTACATCAATAAAAAAAATTATAACATAGCCATATGTTATTTCTACATGTAAATATATAATGCAAGATCATTGTATAATCCTTTTTTTTTTCTTTTGAAATAAAAAGATTAGTTATGCTTCACGTAGAAACCAAATATTAGAAACCAAACCGTATAATTTCGTGATTTAATCCAACTTACTAATCCCATCTTATTGGTGGCTTGTATATTTCTGAATACGGGGACCAGCTATCTAAAATTTCATATGGTTTTTTTTCGTCCATTTCATCATGTTCCACGCAGCAATAGAGATGGCACCTCAAGCAGCCATTTATATATGGAAATCTCTGGTCTCTTTCCACTCTTCCATCTGTTCTCGTATAATTATCTTTGGCGTACAACAGTCTGACTCCACAATTTTTCAACTTGGTTTTTCTTCTGCAATTATTACTTCCATGCTCAACAAAGAACTCCATGTAGCCCTTGCTCTTCGAGCTGAGAGTAAGCAATTCCAAGGCCATGATATCATAATCATATCCTAAGAATACATGATCTGATTCAATAACCTTATGTCCATAATCATTAAACAAACAGCCAGAGGAAACGATCGTCTCGCCAACAACCAGAAAACAACGAACTTGCAGAGGTTCAGCCTCTTCATGGTCTCGAAACGATGCAACAGCGCACAAAGCGAAACCAATTAAGTCATCATTGAGCCAATCTGATGGAAGCTCTATATAACCATTCTGACTTTTAAAGTTAAACCAATCTGGAATGTCGCTTCCAGGGTAACATAAAGAAGCCTTTGGCAGGCTGCATGCCTTTGGCAGGCTATATGCCTTTGGCAGGTTAACCCTTGACAGCGATGTTGTGTTTTCCTGTGCCAACAAAATCATCAACTTCTAACATTTATTTATTTATAATATGAAAAAGAGAGAGAGAGAGTTAGACTTACTTCAGACCTAAACCATAGATCTGCATTTCTCTCAATATTCAGCAGAGTATCATTCAAATCTAGTTTCAGACTGCAACAATTGATGAAGCTAATTTCCTCGTTGTGAGTCCCCATACTTAGGCACTGAGTTGGTAAACCTGATACCGCTTCCAGTGATGGGCAACCCTTTGCTTCTATACGTAGTGACCTATCTGGAAGTTGCGGTAAGGATTTCAGCCTCTGGCAATTGCTTAAATCAAGCTCATACAACTTAGAGAGGTCTTTGATACTCTCTGGCAGACTCTCAAAATTGTTTCCGCCAAGATATAAAAATGTCAGTGAGCGTAATTCGCTGAGATTTTCGGGTAGCACTTCGATACAACAGTCTTCCAGATTTAGCTGCTCCAGCTTGTGGCAGGCCGGTAACTGTGACAGTAGAGAAACCGGTGGCTTCTGAAGCCCACATCTCAGGAAAGATAATTTCTTAAGGTTTTTCAAACATGTCAAAGTCAACGATGGTATATCTGTTATACCAATTCCCTCCACTTCAAGTTCCTCCAGTGCTTTTAAATTTTTCAGGCCGCTAGGCAATCTGTCAAGTTTTGAAGAACCCGAAAGATAAAGATATCGAAGAGATTTAATCTCACAAATACTCTCCGGGAGACTCTCTAGTCTTAAACAATTTTTAAGACTCAATTTTACTAGTTTAGACAGTTGCTCTAATGGCGGCAATTCTTCAATCGCAGTTCCATCTAAATATAATTCTTCTACACTACTAGGGATGCATGGAACTGTTTTGATCTCTGAACAATTGGACAGAATAACTATTCGAAGATCTTCTGATTCACGAATGCTCTCTGGGAGACTCTCCAGCTTTGAACAATTTTCAAGACTCAATATTTTTAAGCTGGAAAGATGCTTTAATGACGACAATTCTTTTATTGCAGTTCCATCTAAATATAGCTCTTCTACCGTATGGGGGATATATGGAACTGTTTTCAGATTTGAACACTTGGAGAGAATAAGTGTTCGAAGAGATTTACAACCAGGGTTGATTGCAAGACTTTCAAATCTTTTACATTCTCGTAGATTCAAGAGGACAAGCTTATTGAGATCACGGATAGATGAGAAATCCTCATACAAATTTGTACAACCTTGTAGAATCAAGCTTTTGAGATTTGGAATTAATGAGAGATTTGGCATTTGGAGTAGATGGTTGGAATGACTGAGGTCAATATGCTTCAACTTATTAAGTTTCTGTAAGAAAATAAAAAATTGAATAAATTAAAAAAAAAAATAGAAATAACATATAAATATTTAGAATTTAAAGCACAAAATGGTACTATAAAAGTTAAAAAATACCTTTTTACCAGTCCAAAGTTGTTTAACTTTGCTATCAGTCATGTACAGTGCAACAAGGTTGTCTGGATCAAAATCTCGTGGCAATGATTCGGCAGAATAATTAAACCAACAAAGGTACCTTAGCTCAGAGAAATCAGATTGAAGCTCTTCAAAACCCTGTACCTTGTTCCCGCGGGTGAAGCCATAGGCTTCCAAGAACATTAGGTTATGCATCTTGTTGAAAGCTTTAGGCTGTAAACGTATCTCTTTTGCTTTAGACATATCCAAGCTTATGCTTCGAATGGCTCCTTTCGCCTATAAAATCAAGAACAGATCGATGATAAATTAGTTTGAAATTTCTCAATTACATAATGTGTCAAGTACTTAATTCTCATATTAAACATTATTTTTTCAAAATATGTAAATATAAGATACCTCATATTCCCACCTAATTACTTTACCAGTTAAGCTGATTCCCAATGATAATGGAAGGAATATTCTGCAAGCTAATATTTTATCATTTCTCATATATAATGTAGAGATAAAAAATTAGTGTTTTTGGCTCTCACCTTATTTTTTTTCAATACTGAGCAGATTTCCTCATGATCCCACAACCTACTACGTTCGCCAGGATTATCAGCTGATTCTTCACGAACAATTTCTCTACCCATTTCTTGAAGTAAATCATGCATTGTTATGATGTTGGATGAGGTTGTTATAATGTTGGGTGAAGTTGTCATGATGTTTGACGACGTAGTTCTGATGTTGGTTGAGGTTGTTACGATGTTGGATGAGGTAGTTATGAGAGACCTTTCAATGAGAACATCTATACAAATACGTGCGGTGAAGCCACGGGCATCCAAGACTTCTTCTATAAGCTCTCTTTCACACCCTTTAAAGAAACATGCAATATCTAAAAATACTTGCTTTTGTTTATTATCTAGTCCATCATAACTTACTTTCAATACGTTATGGATATCCATACGAGGAGTTCTTTTCAAATCTTCTAGAATACTTTCCCAATCTTCTTTTGTCTTCTCAAATAGAGAGGAACCTAAAACTTTAAGAGCAAGAGGAACACCTTTAGTATATGCTACTGCCCTTGATGATAGCTCAATATAATCTTCTGCTGGACTATTTCCTCCGAAGGCATATCTGTTAAAGAGCTGAAAAGCGTTATCATGAGGTAATCCTTTCATCTCATGTATGTGATCACATTCTTTTAGTACTCGTTCATCCCTTGCCGTTATGATTATTCGACTTTCGGAGTCCGAGCAACCAAATTCTTCCATTAAACATTCCATTTGTTCTAATTTTGTCACATCATCAAGCACAATAAGAACACGGCCAAGCCTTTTTCTTTCCAAGGTGAACCCACTATTGGAATGTTTATCCCCTAAAACTCTAGAACTAAGTCTTTGGCGCAAGTCATTTAGTCCCCCGCTTTTCTCCGATTCTTCTCTAATATTTCGAATGAAGTAAGCAGCTTCAAACTGTTTAGAGATTTTTCTGAATACAGCATCAGCAAGAGTCGTTTTACCTATACCCCCAATGCCCCAAATTCCTAGTTTGCAAACACCGACCGTACATAATAATTTTTCAATCTGCTTGACTGTTGAATCTAGTCCAACTAGGTTCTTCTTGTCAATTACCGAGTACTCCTCATCCAATAGCTTCAAAATATTGTTGACAATATCCTGTACAAGTTGTGACTCGTACCTAAATAGTAAAATATAAATAAATAAAATAATAATAATAAAATTAGATAAATGAAAAAGAAACAAACATAATATAATTTTATTTCCTAGAACCGGTCAAAGATTAGAATACAGTAGTTTTCCATCCTAGGATATGAGAATTTTATGGAATAGAGT